TAAGAACGTGTTATGTTTAGTTGACGCTAATCCAATTCCCTTCACGGTTGCGAGCTCTCGGCCGCCTTATAGAGACGGTTTCTGAATTAGAATCTTATTAATTCTTTAAAATATGCTCATATGAAAAAATCCAGCAAAGACTATTTTTTAATGATTTAATACTACTTGGTGTTACCATTATACTATATGAATGTTTATTTGTTAAAATTCCTCTATAGTTTCTGTTTTTTTAAGTATTTCTTCCTAAAGATATAAAAAAAAAACTATTAACAAAATTAAAACTTAGTTTTTTTAATACTTTACAAATTATTCGTTTGCTTACGTTTTATAAATAGTAACGATCGTCTTAAAAATTTAAAGGTATGGACATAGTTTTAGTTATGTTTCATAAGGAAACAATATAACTGTTGCATTCATGTTATGTGTGAGAGGGTTTCGTAAAGATATATATATTTATGTTTCCTCATCTGAGTTGAGACTTCCTGAGACCGTATTAAAGGAGCGCTTAAAGCTAGTTTGGGAATACACAGTAGGGGGGCGGGTGGAATAACATGAAGTATATTTAATTTGAATTTATTACACCAGTGTGATTGCGACATATTTTTGCGTCTTTGTTTTCTCAACCCTCAAAATATTGGGCTGTTTTGTATAAATTTTGTAGGAATTTCAATATCTTAAATTTCTTAAAATTTTCGTTTTCAAAACTGTAATCAATAAGGGTTCTGGATGGACATGTTTGAAATTATCACGCAAAATGGCATTGTTATGTTATATATTTTATTGACACCCGAGCCAGTGGAATTTTGTAAAATAGGATCGTGAACACTGTTAAATAAAACGGCGCAAAACCGTCGAACAGAGAATTGATTCCATTCTCCTGGTGCTAAGACAAGATAGGCCAGAATCCTATTCTCCCATTGATGGGCTATATTTTAACTTGGATTTCAATCTATAATAATAAAGAAAACTAATAGAATCGTTGGTACAAAAGACTTAAAAAATGTATTGTTATCTCGGCAAAAGTTGTGCAAAATGCAGTAACGACAATAAAGACAAAGAAGTAAAACAATGCGCCGAAATTAATATTAAAATCCGAAAGAAGTTCAAGCACAGAATGATAAATTTCTTTTCAACTTCAATTCAGATTCAAGTTTTACTTCCTATTCAAACTTTTATGAAATGACCGGATTACATTTTAAATCGTTTCCTTTTATATCTACCGTTTTGTCTGAACTTTTAAACCCCGTTAAATATAGAAAGCTGAAACAGCTACTCTTAAGAACTAAATATGAGTTTTTTTTGCAAAGATTTCTGTTTAAAGGATATTGACTTAGTGATAATGTTTGTTTAGAATAAATTACAATGTATATTCAATGCTCACAGAGATTATGTTATTATACCATTACTTGTGAAAATTTTCTTAAAACTTTTACCTTTATGTTTATGAAGGTTTCTAAAAAGAACAAGTACTAGTTTTTTTTTATAAAACATATTAATATACATATAACAATATTCATTTCGATATATAACCAATTGTCAAAAGAAATATTACTGCGGCGTAAAATTAATACCAAAAATAATAATACTGTACGTTAATAAGTTATAACTTAATTAAATATACAGTATTTAATTGGTACCATAAATACAATTGAAATGTAAATAACTCCTCTATTATCATTGCATTTGTTATACTAATACCAAAAAAATACGCCTTTCAATTCTTTGCACTGTATTTCTATGCTACCTCATTTCGTTCACTAACTCATTTATTACATCTAATGTAAATGGCTAAGGATTTGTTCTTGGCAAATCGTCCAACACCATGTCAAAATTAAATTACTTAAGAATTATATTACAATGCGTATAATATTATATGTTGGCGTTGAAAAAAGTTATAATATGACAGTATTTATGTCAGTATTTCATAAGTTAAAAGCTACGACCAAACATAATCCCAAAAAATAAGAACAAGAATGAACAGTGCTTTGTTTTATGGACTTGACATGGAGGAAGCGCCGCACACCGTACATGTCGGGGTCGACTTTTATTATTCTGGTACTGGCCGTTGGCTACCCTGCCAAGCATAGCGACTTCCGGAGAATCTCATCAGACCGGAAACGGCATCGTCTTCTTTTGACATTGAGCGGTCAAGGAATCTATTAAATAATTATTTATGTTTACAATAGTTTAATCGTTTGAATCTTCAAGTCAATGCTGGTGCAAAATAATTCATTTGTTTTACCAACCAAAGCGAACAGATTTGCTTACCACCAAACTATAGGTGAAGCAACAGAGTGACTTTGGTGAATTCCGTGTCCTATATTTTATACCCACAAGTTCAACTAACATTTTTGTTACATGTATAAACAAGATAACCTCTATATGTATGCCATTAAAAAATGTATAGTCCTGTTCCGTTGGTCACATAAAATCCCTTGGCAAATATGTATTTTTTTATTATTAGACACATAAAATTACTCAACACTAACTCATTTACTATAATCAATCTTAAGATTATTTCATAAAATAGAGATATTGATAAATAGAAATACAGAATGCTATATACAATTTCAAATTACTAGAATCATGTATTTTAATTTAGCAATATAAATAAGTCAATCACTGAAAGTCTTACTGTCGTGGTATTCGTAGAATTTCCGTATCACATTTTGTCTCTGACGTTTCATCCACGTTTCGGAATTCCATTTACAAAACAGTACAGTAATGCAGAATATTGCTGAAAGGTATAAGGGACATGATGCGTTATTGAGTATGTGACTAGGTGAATTGATGTATGTATAAGTAAATGAGTTGATGAGCGTTACTAGTCTGACTGCATTAACAATTACCATGTGAAACTAGTCAAAACGTTACCATGTTTATTGTGTTATCTGGAATTACTGAGAATATGACAGTTTTTAAAAATAAAACCACGTATCAATCAATCAATTAGTCAACTATTTAAGAATGGTACGCCACTATGTGCGTATTTTAACCCAAATATGAGTAAAGTATGAGTGTAGGATGAGTGGTGCGATCTTTTAGTCTTGTTAGTGACGAAGGTCGTCATGTTCCATAGACACAGCTATTAATAACAGCACATACGCAAATGACATCTAAGGGACTTACAGTTTATAGTGGAATCCGAACACATTTTTCCTTGTAAATAACGAATTGGGCTAATTATCAGAATAGTACTGAGGAAGGTGTAATATAGTGCAATAGGACCATATTAGATTATTAGTAACCGGAAACAGATTAAGTTACTGGGTGGCTGCACTGCCTACATCGGCGTGGAGCTCCCTGAAGGAGTTTTCCGTCTTGATGATCGTCACTTTGAGTCTAGCAAGGTGTGTAACCAGATGTCACCATGTTTTCTTTATAGTTATAATAGTACTTATTACAATGGCGCAGTCGTAGTCAAGTTATGTTCAACTTCTTTTTCGCGAGTGCGGAGTGTTGAAAAATTAATTTGAGAACCATGTCGTCCCGTTCGATAGGGAGTATGGGGGAGTTTAACCCTCATGAAGAGGATTTTTCGTCATATTTAATGAGGCTGAAAAACTACTTGAAGGCCAACAGCGTAAAGGAAGGATCGGAGTAATCCATTTTGATTACTGTAATTGGACCAAAAGCTCTGGCTGTTCTCACGGACTTAGTATCACCAGATTCGGTAGATTCCAAGGATTATAAGGATCTGTTAAAGGTGTTGGAAGCACATTATTCTCCAAAAAGGTTAGTGGTAGCCGAACGCTACACGTTCTACTCACGTGTTCAGCGTCCCAATGAAAGTATTGCTGATTTTATGGTAGCAATTAGGCATTTATCGAGCACATGTAACTTCAAAGCCTTTCTTAAGGATGCACTCAGGGATAAATTAATATCTGGAATCCACAATGAGGCAATTAGGCAAAAACTTCTCAGTGATGAACAAGATTTGGATTTAACATTTTCATTAGCGCTATCCTTAGAGCAAGCAGTAAAACAAACTAGTCTTTTTGTAGGTTCAGGGAACCATGTTCATGATTTAAATAAAATGAGTCTAGGTCCACGTAAAGTAGGCCTAAGTGCCAAGCATGGAGGTAAATCAGCTAAGTTTTCAAGGTCATCTGCTGAGGTAGGCCTAGTTGGCCAATTTCATAAGCTCAAATGCTATCGTTGTGCGAAAGAGCACAAGGCTCATGAATGTCCTTATATCAATTTTAAATGTAATATACGTAAAAAAAATTGGACACCTTGGTAAGGTGTGTAGGTCGAAGGATTCGTCTGATAGGCCTAGGGCTAACAAAAAAGTATTTAAGGTTCACAATGTTGAAGAGACATCGGAAGTTTTACAGGACTTATGTCTGTATAGTGTAGGCCTTGGAGATGGAAAGGCGGGTTATGAAGTAGGGTTGCTGATTGAAACCCATAATGTGACCATGGAGCTCGATACAGGCAGCGCCCTTACGGTCTGCCCCTTTGAGTGGTATCGGAAATATTTTTCACATCTGGCTTTAAAGCCTTGTTATGTAAAACTACTTACCTATTCAGTAAATGAAGTAAGTGTGTTGGGACAGATTTTGGTTAGAGTAAAAGCGGCCAACCAAATTTATCAGGACTTGCCGTTAGTTATTGTAGAGTTAGGCCAAACGGGTCAACCAATGTTGCTAGGTAGAAACTGGCTTGAACATGTAACCTTAGACTGGAAGTTTATATTTTCTCAAGATAAAACTTTAAACCGCTCCGACGAGCACGTTTTTAATAGGCCTAGCCTAAACTCTATTGACAAGTTACCTAACCTAACTTCACTTCAATCAGCTGACTCGGTTCAGCCTAGGGCCAAGGAAGATGTTAAGCATTTAAGGCAAAAGTTTTCTTCTGCGTTTGAAGGAAAATTAGGTTCAATCAAGGGTGTGAAGACACATATAATTTTGAAAGATGGAGCTGTACCGAAGTTCTGCAAATTTCGTCCAGTGCCGTTCTCACTTCGCAAACAAGTGGAAGAGGAAATAGACAAGATGGTGGATGATGGAATTGCTTATCCTGTTTTGAGTTCCGACTGGGCAACCCAACTGGTTGTTGTGCCCAAGCCTACAGGAGTTAGGCTATGCGGGGACTTTAAGGTAACGTTAAACCAAGTTATCCAAACTGAACACTATCCTTTACCTCAACCCGAGGATATTTTTGCTTCATTATCTGGTTGTTCTGTGTTCTCTGTTATTGATTTACAGACATCCTATCTTCAACTGGAGGTTGCTGAGGATTCACAGGAGTTGTTAACCTTGGCAACACATAAAGGATTATTTCGTCTTACTCGTTTGCCATATGGCCTATCCAGTGCACCTGCTTTGTTTCAGGCAGCTATTGATGAGATAATTAAAAATCTTCCCGGTACGGTAGCGTACCTTGATGATGTCTTGATTGGCGGACATTCATACCCTGAAGCAGTGTCTAGGTTGGAGCAAGTTCTTCAACGCTTCCAAGAATATGGAGTGAAGGTTAACGATAGTAAATGCAAATTTTTACAACCTGTTGTAGACTATTTAGGTTATAGGTTGTCGGCTGAAGGTATAAGTCCACGAGAAGGGCTAGTGGAAGCCATCAAGGATGCCCCGGAACCATCAAGTAAGGAGGAGTTGAGATCATATATAGGACTCATTAATTACTATGGTAGATTTATTTCCAATCTCTCTGATAAGCTGAACTGTTTCTATGAGTTGTTGAAAAAGGATGTTCCTTTTGTTTGGTCTAGGAAATGTGCTGAAACTTTTAAACAGAGTAAACACTGGGTGTTATCTTCTGATATTCTTGTACATTATGATGTAAATAAGCCACTAGTGCTTACATGTGATGCAAGCCCTCGAGGCGTGGGGGCGGTGCTGTCCCATTTGATTGATGGCGAAGAGAGGCCTATTGCTTTCGCCTCTAAAACTCTAAGTCAAAGTGAGAAAAATTATTCTCAGCTTCATAGGGAAGCCCTAGCATTAGTATTTGGTGCTAAGAAATTTCATAAGTATATTTACGGGAGAAAACATGTCATATTACAGAGTGACCACCAGCCGTTGGCTACTATCTTTGGCTCAAAGCGAGGAACTCCAAGCCTAGCCGCAGCGCGCCTACAGAGATGGGCCCTGATTTTGGCTTCGTATGACGTCGAAGTGAGATATCGCAAGGCGTCTGATGTGCCACATGCCGATGCCTTATCCCGGTTTCCGTTACCGGCAAGTGATTCACTGGAACTGGAAAACAACTTTATCTCGCACACTCAGGAATGCGTGGAGGTACTAAACTGCTTCAGCACGGTGAGTCAACCTAATCACCTATCACTTCTAAGGAAATTGCTAAATTCACTGGTACTGATCCTATATTATCTAAAGTAAAAGATTATGTTTGGCACGGCTGGCATGGCGCTGTGGATAAAGAGTTATTGCCTTATGTAAAAAGGAAAGATGAACTTTCTGTGGATAGTAATTGTCTTCTGTGGGGGGGCCCGTGTGGTCATTCCGACAAAATTGAGGAACCAAATTTTAGAATTGCTCCATGATCAACATCCAGGCATTACACAGATGAAGCTGTTATCACGTAGCTATGTGTGGTGGCCCGGTATAGAACAAGGTATTGAAGAAACAGTGTCTTCTTGTTATATTTGTCAGTGTACGAGTAATGCAGCTCCAAAAGTCCCTCTCCAACAGTGGCCCCGTGTGTATGGCAGATGGCAACGGGTGCACATAGATTTCGCTGAAGATCCTAATTCTAGGCAACAAATGTTAGTACTAGTAGACAGTTTTTCCAAGTGGATCGAGGTGTTTGTTATGAAATCTACTAGTTCTCTCAAGACCATTGAGCGTCTCCGTTCACTTTTTGCATCGTATGGGCTTCCGGACACTCTAGTATCTGATAATGGCCCTTCTTTTACAAGTTTTGAGTTCAAAGAATTCTTAAAGAAGAATGGAGTAAGGTTTGTCTTATCACCTCCTTATCATCCTGCATCAAATGGTGCTGCTGAGCGGTGCGTTCAAGAAGTGAAGAAGAACCTGTCAGGCAGGAGAAAAGTGATTGGGTACCTGGAAAAATTCTGGAGATAAAAAGTTCTGTAATATATCTTGTTAGTGTATTGGGAAAGGTTAGGCGTTGCCATGCTGACCACCTCAGGTCTAGAGTTAACATGGAAGAGGAGGGGATAGCAGTGCCAAGTTGTGAGCCAAGGTCTCCCATGAAACCAGTACTTCCTGAGCGAGGTGAAACTTCAGAGGACAAGGAGAGGCAGCAAGTTTCGCCAGGCGGCAATCTCCATTGAAGGATCCTGAGACTGCAGCGGTTCAGCCAAGACATGAAGATAGCGGCAGTGCAGTGCAGCCCGCCCAATCTTAGAAGGTCAAAAAGGACAATACAAAAGCCTGAAAAGCTAGACCTTTAAGCTATTCAGGCAGAAGTAAGAAGAGTTTAGTTTAGTTTATTGAGAAGAATTTTTAAGTTAAAGTCAAAGTTAAATTAATAAAAAAGAAAAAAAAATTATTATGAAGAGAAAGTTTTATGTTTGAAGAGTATGTTATTTGTGGTCTTACAGCAGTAGTGTGGGCCTAATCTAAATGGTGGCGAGTGTAATATAGTGCAATAGGACCATATTAGATTATTAGTAACCGGAAACAGATTCAGTTACTGGGTGGCTGCACTGCCTACATCGGCATGGAGCTCCCTGATTGGCTGCCGATCGGTTAAGGAGTTTTCCGTCTTGATGATCGTCACTTCGACTCTAGCAAGGTGTGTAACCAGATGTCGCCATGTTTTCTTTATAGTTATAATAGTAGTTATTACAGAAGGTCATAGTACTCACTAGTGCGGACGTTAATCCACGCCAGGGAGCATCGCATCCACAGTGCATGCTAATAAATATCCACAATTCGTGACCTCCTAGTAGCTGGATTACAGGACGACGTCTTCGTCCCCGAACTAAGCTATTACTACAATCACTAATGTACACCAAAATCTTCGCCTCTTCCTCGCCCAAACACAAAGCAACACAGACAACTGACTGGGCTGCTGTTAGGCTTCTGTGAACATCGTTTGTATCTACAATCAATTAGACTCTATCAAACTGAGATGAAGGCCCTACGTCGACATCCGACAAGACCCATCTTACAGTCGTTAGTGACGTTAACGCGTTAACACACGTTTCCGGCGAGATGTTTTTAGTTACTAAACAAAAAGAAACACATTATGTGTGCATTCTCAAGTCTTTGTTCATTTGAGTAAAACGCCACATTTCCTTGATTAATGTGGGGCTAGAGTGTTAAAATGCCTAGTATAAGAAAAAAAGCGAGAAACTGTTTATTTGTTATATACTGGACCCGTCAATAAATATCCCTGGTAAAGAAACAGGGTTGAGACAGAAAAAATCAACATCATTCCAATAATTCTACTCATCAATGGTGAAAAAGTAAATTGAAGTACGCCTAACAACACTTGAAACATATATTTCCACTTATACTGTTTACTTACAAGATGCAAATATCCAAATATGGTACCAAATTGTGATATGGTAACAAAACGCAATGACTATAAATGATAGAAAATGTTCTATGGTCAACTTATCACGACGCATCATACCAATGGTCTGGAATTACATGTTACCCGTTACCATACGTAAGAGAAAATTGATAATAAAAAATATTGGAGAGATTTTGATATCAGATTTCAATTAATGATATTTGTCTAGATCTGCACATTGACTCATTCTGCCCAAGAGTATCAAGACTTTTGGGATTCATCTTTCGTGCGTACATAGATTACATCCTGGAAGCTCTGTTGGAACAAGCTATTATATGCAAGCGTAGTATAATCTCCTCATCAAACTGGACACAAATATCAACTTGGAAAAATCCAAAGAAGGTATTAATTCGAGTAATCTGTACTAAATCGGGAACTGACCATTATATGTCCCTGTTTATGACGTAGACGTAGTAAACTACTTGAAGCTGACACATCTGATACGAAGACCTCTCTCTGATCGACAGTCCTAAATTACACGATCTTATCACATTTCAAACCTCAGTGGCTAATTGGATCCAAGAGTTATTCCACTGACATAAGTGATCAACGAATATCACAGTCCTCTAGCAAGACCTCATTGTCGTGGGAATATTAGGGTTAGTTGCCGAGGGTCGAAATGCCGGAAGGTCTAAAAGTACAGCCCAGAAAAAAACGTACTCACTGTTACTGTTTTAAATCTAGCAGGATTTATACCTTGGGCACACAAAATATATTTTTCCTACAGTCACCCGACAAAGTTGGCTTCCTTGTACTATTTATAGTACAGAAAGCTGCTAATTGCTGCATATTTATACTTTGCCGTACGGTTTATACTTTGTCGCACATCAGGATTCCAACTAAACAACACAAAACAGCGTGGTTCTATTATGCACGTAATCCGTGTACGCTTGGAAATAGGTTGGCAACACTTAAAGATAATAATACTATGAGCAGCTGATTGACTATTATAACTACGATTTAACCTGTCATTTCGTGTTTATAGTTTCGGTATTTCTGAACTTTCTGGACTTTGCTTTAAACGTTTTTAAAACATTCCTACGATCTTAATAAACAAGAAAATACCTTTAAAGCATTTTTTTTTTTTGCGCGGAAACCACTTAAAATTACAAAAACATACGGAACTATATTCTCAAAACGTGGAGCACATTTCTTGGCGAGGAAAAATAGCGGAGTGATACGGACCGCGGGTACTACTTCCTCTAGGGCACCATTTGTGTTGCCAGCTGAACCTAAAAACGTGTTGTATAGTGTATGAAAGACTAATTATTTATATGCTTTATAGTGACTGTAGGAAAAATATAATGTGTAAAACGAGTGAAAAAGGCCTTTGCTGCACTCGAGATCACATAACATTGCTAAACATTGCTCTCGTGTGCAGCAAAGTGCCACTTTCACCACTAGTTACACAAATAACTATTGTAAATAAATGTTTATAAAATGAAACTTGCTAAGGTTCTAAATCCCAGAAGGTCATTTTAGACCTTTTGCATACAGTTTGAAATTCGGACGAGGAGAGAAAGGTCTAAAATGAGAATTAGACCTTGCACCACTGTTTTGTCATTTGTAGTCCAACATGCAAACTGTATGCCAAAGGTCTGATTGGACCTTTCGGGATTTAGACCCTCAGCAACAAGTCCAAAATGCTACGTAATTTTATTCCGAAGGTCCAAATAGGCCTTCCAAGATTTACACCTTCAGCAAAACTCCCCTTTATTGGCCCCACCAGGAGTTGTTAAATGACAGTGAAGATGCACTAAAGAGGACCTTCTCAAATTATTTAAGATAGGTGCCTGAGTTTTCTCTTGTTTCTGTAAATCATAATTGTGTGTGAGGTGTGAGAGCGAGCTGGTCTAGTGGTAGAGCGTGTGTCCTTTGTGCCTGAGGTCTTGGGTTCAAATCCTGAAAATCACCAATGTATTTTATTTATGTTATAAAGCCGCAACCCTCTAGGACTAGCCTGAAGCGATGTGTAAAACAGTTCCGGGCTAAAACTAGCGTCATATAAAAGTAGGACATTATTGTGTGTGAAGGGATTGTAAGCAGAGTACCGGTATAGTTTCATGTTCATTTATCAACATAATTTTCTCCATTGGCACATTTTCTTCTTTCTAGTAGCATTATTGAAGCTATTTCATGTAAATATGCTATTAAATTTAACAACACATTATTCTAGTCTAAATCATTGACGTTCAACAACTTGACTTGTAAAAATCGGCCTATGTAAATTTTGGCCTCTTAGTTACCAAATAATATTGAAAAGGGTTTAAAACCCTACTATAAGACAATCTATTGGTTGCCAAATAATATTAAAAAAAAGGGTTTTAACACCTGCGATGAGACAATCTAAACTATACAACATAATGATCCAGACTCAATTTTCGTAAAATAACATAAGTAAAACTATATTATTTGTATTCAATACAACTATTATTTCATACTGACAACTCTTAAACCAAATTATACTGAAAAGGAAACTATTGATGCAAATACATTACTAAAGACTTAAACAAACCATTACATTTGTCAAGGACAAGAAAAAAATATTTTGCAAGAAATGTTTCTCGTACGAAGAACTCTGTGAGAAATGTTTTAATCCTAATAGAACGCATTTGGGCCGATGTAAGCACGGATTAAGGGATGCTGGATTAGCTACAGGAGGGGATGATTGAACCAGGCATTAAATCAGGGTTGATGTGTCGGTGAACCGATGATTTGTCGCCCCCATCAGACATGGTTAAACGGCCTTGCCTACTTAGGTCGCCATTTTATCTTCATTATAAAGATTGGAAATGAATCTATTTATAGGATTAAAACAGTACAGGTGAATGACGTAAGAAAATATACGGCTATGCGTGACATACGTAAGTAACTGTACAGGCCACAACAACAGAAAATTATCTCATATAGCAGTACATAAAAACACGGGAATAGCCTTTTTTAGATTGGTTTGAAATAAAATAGTTCAAAAAGTTGGCAGTGCATCCAATTAGTAACAAATTAATATAAATAATAGCTGAGCTAGGAAGGGTAAATGTATCTCTTATGAAAATTATGATTTAGTATTTCATAAGTTTAAACCATTGGTGTATTTTACTTTAAAATTTTAAGACTCTATATTTTATAGCCTTTTTTAGAATATAAATGCAATTTCAAGAAATTATTTTATTTTTTTCTCCAAACTAACTCCATTTATGAGCAACAGGACGCGGATCGTTCACAGCAAGAAGTGGCTAGAAAAATATTTGAGGAATAAAAACGTTTTTAAATTGCATTCACATTCCAAAACAATCATAAAATATTGGACGATCAATAACAATTTTAAATTAAGTATTGGAAATTGTAGGTAATTTTTTAGGAAAAGTGGAACCAATATTTGAGTAACCCTTCATGGGTCTTAAATGTTTATTTAATGTTTTTTTTTCAAATTTGTTTATTTGTTTTGTTCTCTAAGTATAATAGTTCCTGGGAATAAATTATGGCACAGTTAATTTGTTCAGTCTGTATATATCTATACTTACTTACTCCTGTAGTCATG